AGAGAATCAAAATCTCGCACTTCCACTCCGTTCAACTACTCCTCCAGATAATTCCTCAGCTCGAAGGCAAAATCTTTATATCGCGTGCCTGCACGCCGCTGGTGTTGAACAAATTTAACACAAAAAGCCTCTGGGCTCAACTCGAAACGTTGTAACAGAATTTTCTTCACATAAGTGTAATTATCGAGCTCCTCTTCCGGTTCTCGTAGAATAATAGAAACAATGTCCATTGGCAATAAAGCCATCAAATGCGACACCCAGTCTCCTTCGTCTACATTCGCTTTGCGAGCCTGACGCTCAAACATCGCTAAATAAAGAGAAATATCCGATGATTCGGGATTATATCTCTGCATTAAATTTTGCAATTCTCTTATTGACCTAGGAATATTATTCTGGGAATTTTCTCTGACATTGTTGGCGTTTGTCAACCTCAGTCGTTCCAATTCAAACTCTCTCTCCCTTTCCTTTTCTAGTCTCTGCTGTTCGGCTTCTTCGAGCCTACGCTGTTCTATCCGAGTTTCAATAATGGCCTCGACAAATTTTTCGTCATAATGAGGACTCTGCACAATAAGGTTTTTAAGATCCTGTATTTTTGCATTGGGGGGAATCTCTAAACCTAATTCCTTGGACAGATATATGAGATCCTGTTTCCTACCTTTCCCAAGATATGATATATTGCAAATTCCAAAATTTCAGATCATACACAAAAAAAATAGTATTTCAAAAGTATTAGCTGTTTACTATCAAAACCTTTCACACTTTAAAATTAAATAGAATAACGCAAAATGACATTGCAATTTATGATATGCTTGACATAGACTACTATTAAAATCTTTCCCACTTTAGATTAATAAGAATAACACAAAATAACATTGCAATTTATGATATGCTTTACACAGGCTACTTGCGATTAGCAAAATGTTAAGAAGTAAAGACAATTTAGAACAAATAATTTTAGCTTACAATTTTAACTAAAATATTTCGGCTCAAACAGGTAATAATGCTCAGTACAATAAGCAAATTTCTAAAATACTTTTCGACAAAAGCAGAGCAAAACTTAATTTATAAATAACACATGCCTCTTAAATTCTCAAACCCATTCAGGATTATGAGTGACCTAGCAATTTAAACGTATAAATTAGACACAGCAATTTCAAGTAATAAAATTAATATTGCCTCTACAAAGGTTAATGCCCAAATTGACTTACCCCGTTTTGCAGACAAGTAGATACACATTTTTTTATTCTATTCAGAAGCACTTGATCCTAACCATGGCACTATTTGTTTCCTTTTTTATATCACTAAAGAAAACACACTTTTTTCACTTAGCAGGGAAATCACTATTCACTGAACACTATTCGGGATGCAGCAAATCACTTCATAGTAGGTGTCACAGTTGGAGGTACTTCTTTCCGCAAACGCGTATTCAGAGATAAGATCTCTGAAACTTGCTATTGTCCACATAAGAGAAAATTTTCTTCTGTCGTTTTGCAGGCACTTTTTGCACACAGTTTTCCACACAGTCTTTGTTGTAGCTGACACTGCGCGGGAAACGGAGAAGTCTCAATTACTTCTTCCACCAAGTCTCTTCGGAGGCGTGGTTTCGAATCCCACCGCAGCCACCATTTTTACACATAGCCTCTATAGCTGTGACGAATTCGAAAGACAAGAGGTAGCGTAACTGATTTTATTTGGGTTCTTTCTAGGCTATATGCAAAAAAAAAAAAAAATAAAAATAAAAATAAAAATAAATAAACTTATAAAATATTGTTCTCACAGTAGGGTGAATAAGTTCCTGTTTAGATGAAAGTTCTTGTTTGGAAATAGTTCAAGATGAGGCTGTCTTGAATAAATCAAATCAGCCGGTGGTTGCCGGACTGAGTTGTGTCCGAGCAGGATGCTCTTCGTAAGGTAGCAGCGAACCCGGCTATCTCGCTGTATCTCTTGGTAGAGATATCAATATCGCTTTACCCAGAGCGAAGCAAAAATTTACTCGTGACCGAGCTGGGAAAAAACGAGAGAATGTTTCTCTCTCTACTTACTGCATCTAACTCTCACTTTTTTCTCCCTCTGGAACTGCGTTCCATGATTTTGTTCAAATTGGCCTGGGCGTGTCGGAAAAACTTCCAGGATCCTTATTTGTCCGTAATTTTTAGTAGCACCTCTTGATTGGCGAGAGCACTTTGATTAACAACTGAAAATGATGAAGACAGCCTGGGAAAAAGTCCGTGGGAACTTTTCGATTCCAACTGGGGTCTCAAACCGGGTGGTCTGAGACACTGAACCTATAAACTGATGAAAGGAAACTGAACAATGTCTCCTTTCGAACAACTATAAGAGGAACAAAAAGCTGAGATTGTTTTGTGACTGCTGGTCACTTCCTCTTTCCGAGAATTCGCTAAGAAATACTCTGTCCGTGGGAACTTTCGTGGTGGTCATTCTTTTTCTGAGAACTTCGTGATGGTCAATAAAATAGCTTAAGACGTTACAAGCGTAAGACTTTACCAGGAGTGATTTTCAAACAGGGCGCTGTCCGATGCAAGAATATTTCAATGCCTGCATAGGATCTCTTACAGATGGGATCGTTGAGTGCTAAAGAAAGGACACAGGTCGACTAAAATGTTCGAGAACAATAACAACCAGTCCGAATGAAGCAAGCAATTGACAGCTCGTCAGTGTCAATCATATGACAGTATTGTGTGTGTTGCATGAAGAAAGGTGACACCTTTATCTCCAGCGGTTCCAGGCTTTGAATGAAACGAATTTTTCACAACATATGAACATTGGTTTCTGCAACAGAACAGGCTGCATCCACAGTTTGCTGCATCTGTCCTGTTTGCCAGCGAGATGTATATGGAGGTACTCATGTGGCGGCATATTTAATATGCATAACACTCATGTGAGCAATAGTAAATCCGCCTGCTACACGTTCGAGATGATATCAGCAAAGGTTCTTCGTGAATGTGTATGCAGAGTTTATCTAAGATCACGTAGGCCTTATTTACTGCAAAATGTGCCAGCATATGTTCGAACAATTATGTGTTCCAGCACTATGGAGCATCAGCGAAATTAATTGGACTCTACCTTTCCAAACAGATGGATTGGCCGCGGTGGGCCCGTCTTTTGGCCTTCCAGATATCACGATCTTTCCTGCTTAGATTTTTTTTCTCCGGGAACAGCTAAAAAGCGTTTTCTAAGAAATGCCCATCGAGTCACAAGTGGACTTGTCGCCTGAATAGATTCGCATTTGTAGATATTCCTGAAGTGCCAAAGTATGCGTGAATTCAAAAGATTCAAAATATGCATGATTCACTCCATCCCATCCCCGATGCAACTCCTGCACTGCAGCTAGTGGTCACACATTCGAACAATTGTTGTGAAATTTCCAATAATAAAAATGCTTTGTCTACAATTATTCGTCTTTACTGTATTCCTCATTTTCACCAGGCAAGCGCCCTCTCACGGCTCACCCTTTGTTTTCCGATACCACATTGTATGGTGAAAGTTGTTTGTTTTGGTTAAGTTCTATCACCTCTACATTTGTGACCATTAGTTTTGTTACATCCTATATAATCAAGTTTCGGTCTATTTTTCACTGTGGCAGTCATAGATTCACTCATATTTAATTTTCGCTGTATGATCTCGGCTTTATTTTAGTCAATGACGGTTGAAGAATCGTACACGTTTTCCAGTGTTTATGCTGTCGGAACTTCTTGACATTCAATTTTAATTTTGAAAATTTCCCAGGAATATCTGAAGTGTTTTAGGCCTATCTTGTACTTAAACTGTTTTATTAAATACATAGTCTGTATTGCTTTGAAGTTTGATGAAGGTTTAAATTAGGAAATCAACCTAAATGAGAAAAAAAAAAAGTACTGTTTTACAAAAAAAAAAAAAAAAAAATACGAAAAGAAAACGAATACAACATTTACTCACATAGTTCTTTCTTTTCGCGTACTTTCGTCTGCAGGAATTTCAGCACAAGATCTCGAAATTTTGACTAACGATGGCATCATATAAGGCGAGAATTGAGAGCAAATTTTATTGTGTAAGTAAAAAACATCTCATTGAAAACAGTAACTGACAGTAACTAATCCCCCTCCGTCCATTTTCGAGAGGTAAAGTTAGCACAACTAGGGGAGAGAAAAATTCGCGAGTAAATACAGTAAACATCTTCCACCTAACAAAAAAAAAAAAAAAAAAAAAAAAATCTGAAATGTTTCAGATTTTAAATTACGTCCAAAGGGGCGTTTTTTTAACGTTTTGAGTGTTACCTTTATTTATTAAATATCATGTTCTTTGCACTTAAAACATAAAATTCAGTTCAAGAGCAATATCGCAAAATAATGTTAAATTAAGCATATCTTTAGAATTTCCGATATACACAGTCTCGCGAGCTGGAGATAAAAGTATTTTTTTTTTTTTTTTTTTATATAACGTTGCCATTTCTCGCTTTTAAAGCATTGAGTTTGTAAATCAAAAATTCGTTAAAGTTTTACAAAAATATAAAATCTATAATAAAACAAAATTCCAAATTTGGGATTTCAGATGCCCATATTCGCAGTAGGATTTCGTCATTCAAAATTCGATGGCTCTATGTACCATTGTTTTATCACAATGCGAGAAATAGACAATCATTTATGCAGATTTTTTATTTAATTTTTTCTCAAATATAATGCAGGACTCTAACATTTTGTGGCAACAGTTTGAAAAGTGAACCGACGTTTATGAGTCCGACGTAAAATCGCAAAACGAAAACAATAGTCCTTCAGGTACAAAGCCCCTTTGGACTAAAAAACATAAAGTTTCTGCACAGCTTTACTCGGCAAATAATTATTACCATCAGCAATCATTATCAAGTCTCTACAAATAATCATTACCATCAGCAATAAAGCTCAATAATCAGATTATGCAATTACATAGTTATTACTAGTTCTTAAGCTATTGCATAGTGCAAATAGGGAAATATAAAAGAGTATTGCAGAAGCAAACCTACTAACTTTGAGAACTTTTTTTTTGTCGGCAGTCGAACAAGTTCCAATGACTTTACAACCAGCAGCTTTTGCCCACTGAACCTAGAACATTAAAGAAATGGCATCTTCTTAATAATTAAGTTTCATGTAAATTATGAACTTACAGTCATTGATTTTAATTAAAATTAATAATATATTTTGCCATAATCACTTCTTTAAAATTTCACTTCTTTATAATTTTTTTCATTCATTTTATGTTACAGTCGAATCTCGCTGTAACGAACTTCAATGGGCCGAAAGTTTGATTCACTATATTCGATTCCATAAGAAGAATAAGCTATCTCATAAAAGTATTGAAACAGTGTTTTTATACTCGCATGAAAATGAATAACAAACAATACTGACGAATTTACTTTTAACTTAAGATATATGGTTGCAAACGAAAAATTCAACAACTTTTGTAACCCTTACGTCTTTTATAATTCCCCCCCTTATGCCTATGCAAACATCTCATTCGGAGAACAGAATATAGCATTTATACTCAAAAAAAGGGGGGGGAAATATGGATACAGTTTTTTTTTTTTTTTTTTTCCTTTCTGCAAAAGACGAATCAACTGTACAGCCTTAACTAAAGCTCTGTCTGATGACTCCGTCAAAGAATTTGAATCGGATTTTAAAGGTACTACTTAGGCTCTTTTATGGTCACATACACCATGTACAAAGAACGCCATATCGATTCCTAAGATTTGTTTATTGTGTCATGGTTCTCCACGCACCTTTGACTGGCAAACCCGTATATATACGTCCTAGAATATTTTTAGTGACATGTTTAAGTATGCATAGGTGCATCCTGAAATACGTCCAATAAATTAAGGCAATATATTAAAAAATACATAAACCCAGGTACAAAGTACTTAGTGCACTTACTTTTTGTATTTACTTTTTGCTTTAAAATCAAGAAGATATCTCTTTTTCATGGCAGGTTTGGGAAATTTGGGCTTTCTTAAAAAAAAAAAAAAAAAAAAAAAACCGTGCCGGTTCTTTTTTTTTAACCGTGCCGGTTATATATAAAGAAAGAAGTGTTCTAAAGATATAGAGAGCCAAAATGAGTGTTCCACCTATTTCGCATAGTCTTTGTTTACAACACAGAGTAAAGGAGGGTTGAACATGAAAAGATAAGCAACGTAAAATTGTTTTCCTTTACAGTCATTTACAAATGGTGTAATGCGAATCGTAACATCTTAAACATGGATGATTTTAAGGGTTAATATTTTTCAATTAGAAGTTGCAGAAACTCCTGGAAAAAGTTTGAAAAACAAAACATATTAAGTCCAAAATATCCATTAAGTTCGTCATATCCGATTTTCTTACCTTTAAAAGTTCACTATAGCAGTATGAAATAATATTAATTGTTATTAATGGACTGTTATTGAAACTGGACGGCACTAAAAGGTTCGTCCGTAATATCCGGGAGTCGGTAATAAGCCGAGTTCATTATAGAGAGGTTCGACTGCATTGTCATTATTGTTATTACTTGATTATTATACGAAAGAATATAATCGATCTTTTTCAATATTCTTCACTTATATATAATATTTAGGCATTTTAATTAGCAATTATATTCTCACCGCAATGTGTCCTGTTCCACCAGCAGCAGCGGTAATCAGAACCGTATCTTCTTCTGTAATACGGCCAGCCTGTGCGAATCGTAACACATTTTTACTGTTTGTCACACTAAAATCATAGTACATTTTATATTATAGCTTATATTCAAAATTGTTTCCAAAATACAGATAATTTTGACTAAATTAGACGTACACATCTGAATACGCGAGTGCTGAAGTTTCTCATATTTGATAATTCATAGTAATTTCTGAATAAATGAAATGACAAAAAATAGGATGCCTTCGTCGAAGATTTTGTAGGGGAACTGGTTCATATTGAGGCTGAGCATGGAAAATTTCACGAAACTGCTGATGCAGGCAACCCATTTGCGGATATTCTAATCCAGATCGAAATACAAGTGTTCCACAGACTTATATATAAATGTACAAGTCTGTTAAATATTTGTAGTTTTATATATATATATATGATGTACCAGCTTTTGTCGTAGCTTAAATTATCAGACGATAAGTTTAAAAAAACAGGATCCATTTATTATTATTCAGGAGAAATAGCAGTTACAAAATCAGATATCCGGAGTAAATAAAAGAATTACTAATAACTTTTTGTATGAAGTTTACTGCATCGTGACATTTAAGAAAAAGCCCCGATATTCCTTTTGCGAGTCCTTTTATAGCCTCTGGAAAGGCGGAGCTTCCAAGAAATGACGTCAGCCATTCCAATTCGCTTTAGAATATTTCCAGAACATTCTATAACTGTACGTGTAGAAAAGGCGGGAAAAACAACTTGACTACGGGGCTGCGGATTTAATTCCACGTACTTTCAAATAAGAAACCGTCGCCATTAAAAATAAAAAGAACATAGAGTTAGAATTTTAAGTGTATTCTTCACTATGGAATTTTATTATTACAAATATATATATAAAAGTAATAACACGTTTTCATTCCCGATTTTGAATTGGAAAAAAATAGTAATCTTTATTTTTAGTATAAAAAACAATTTTAACAGCATTCAATATACGAGTTCAAATATAAATTAGCATTATAATGGAAGTAAAGTTTTACAACCTTGAAAAGTAATTAAATTTACGAAACAAAACTTATGACTGAAATTTATTTTAAATTTTCTCTTTCTCTAATTTACAGTAATTTAAATAATTATTCCTATGAAAGCTATTTAGATTAATTCGAATTAAAGAGAGTTTAATGTATATATGAGGAAATGAACAATTATAAAGACCTTCCTCCTTTAAGTATCAGGAATTATTTATAGAGTTTGGTGCTTTAAACTAGTATCTAAACTTCTAACAGACTTGGAACGAATTATCATTCGTTTGAAGATAACAATAAAGAATTGAGAAGGTTAGAAAATAACCTTTTTTGTTAAATCAGAACTTTGAACCGTAAAATACACGTCTCGTACTTAACAAAGTCAGCCAACTACTGGTGGCGTGATAACTTAAAAGTAACAATTAAATGTAATTTAAAACTAAAACTAGCAGTCGAAGACAATTGGTTTAACGCGAAGTTAGCTCAAAACTTCTCACTGACGTAACACTTTAAAATGGCGGCAACTACACTGCAGAGCCGAAACATGCTATCTTATCTGAGCTAGCAGTAACGTGGCCTCGAGAGGCAGAAATACGCTCTGCGTTACAATCCAAAAATTTCGACTAAATAATCTCGAAGTAATTTGCATTCTGAAAGGGTAAAGGAATAGAGAAATGGTGGTAAAGATTTAAATAATAATTACTATCTAAATTATCAAAAAGAACATGTTTACACTTACGTGAACTTACATGCTTATCTCTACTTATATTTGCTTTACTTATTAGCCTAAAGGGCGTCAGCCTAGAAGGGCTTTGATTTCGTTTCGGCATTTTGAGGCGATTCACTTTCTGCGTAGATTCAATTTTCTAACTGTTGCCACCAAATATTACAGCCCTGTGTTATATTTTAAGAAATTAAATAATGAATAATCTACATAAATGTATATATGTTTCTCGCATTGGGATAAAACAACGGAGCATCAAGTTTTGAATAACGTAATCCTCCAGTGAATATGGGCATCTGAAAGCCCTAATTTGGAATTTGTTTTATTATCTATTTCACATTTTATCAGACATTAAAGAATTTTTGATTAAGAAACTCAGCGATTTCAAAGCGAACAATGGCAACATTGTATTAAAAAAAAATAATTAAATTATCTCCAGCACCCGAGACTCTGTATCGGAAATTCTAAAGATATACTCATTTTTGTTTTGCGATATTGATTTTGAACTGAATTTTATGTTTTAAGTGCGAAGAACATGATATTTAATAAACAAAGATAAACACACAAAACGTTAAAAAAAGAGCGCCCCTTTGGGCGTAATGTAAAATATGAAAGCTTTCAAAATTTTTTTACTTATTTATTTTACTTATTTATTTATTTTTAGTAATATTTACCTCAATCAATCAATGTCAGTATCATCTGATCAAGATTCTGCAAAAATATAGCCCTAAATGATAGCCATATGCGACGAAGCAGGTCGTTTTGATGCCAACGGTTCGACACCAACGGTTCGACGCCAACGTTTCGACGCCGGGGCAGTTCGACGCCGTACGTTTCGACGCAGGGACAGTTCGACGCCATATTTTTTCGTATTTTTATTTATTTTAGAATAAATATAAAGTAATATAAATAAGTAATATGACTGATTTTTATTTATTGAATTAGCGATTGTTTGCATGCCTATTTGAAATAAATATATGTGTGTATATGTGTGAAAGTGTTCTAAAGATTTTTGAAAGATTTTTGTTTGTCTCCCAGATTAGTGAGAAGCCCCCTCGCCAACGTCAAGGCCCCGGGATATAAGGGAGGGTTTTTTTTTTTATTTATTTATTTCACAAAACAGCATCAAAAATACACAAATGGAAAATAAACATATGGTTACAAAGTAGTTATATTATATTGCAGACAAATATAATTACAGATAAATAAGATTACACACTAAAATAAGATTAGAGATAAATAAAATTACATCACAGAACTATTATTATACTAATCCATTGCAAAATTATGCGCTACACCTTTCAGGTATTCCATTATTTCTCGATTTTCAAAATCTCGAACTATTACTTTCATTCTCATATCAGCTCGCAGATACCTATTCCGCTTGTGCGGCGGTTCATCTCCACGTAAAAATTGCTCATAACATTGATCAATTGATTTTTGAACACGCCTGACACCATCTATGAATTCCCATAATGTGGGGTGTGAAACACCAAATGATGATGACACCAAATTTATTTGAATGATGATGCAAATTTATTCTAAAAATAAATAAAAATACGAAAAGTATGGCGTCAAACAAAAGCAGAAAAGTATGGCGTCGAACTGACCCCGCGTCGAAACGACCTCGTGTCGAATTGACCACGCGTCGAAACGTTGGCGTCGAACTGACCTGTACCGATATGCGACGTGCGACTTATACGTACAGGAATAAAATTTGGTAAACCGCATTGTTCTTTGAAGTAGATGTTCTCTTTCGCTTTCATTTATAATTAGTCTTTGTATTAATATGTTTTAAAGTTTTGATCAACATGTTTAAAGCTTGAATTTACTACTGACTAAAAATGATAATTCTAGGGCCTTGTTTATAGTAGGCGCTGTTTAATGTGAGCTCATTTATCCACGGCTATTTTGATAATATTAACCGAATGGTAATGTTAAACGATGAAAAAAATGCTTTTCAAAATAGCAATTCCAATTTTGATCCATAGTTTCTAAAATTGCAGAGTGTTTACTTGCTCAAAATCACTGTCCCGCAGTACTGCCACCTGTTCATGGCTGCCACTTCGCATTAAAAAAAATTCTTGTTGTTCTGTGTCACCCTTTATAAATGTATGGTGTTTCAATTTAAAAGATTTATTCTATAATATTTTGAGCATGATAACCGAACTTTTGATCACAATAAGCGATGTATTTTTAATGTTTTCATATACAAACGGGCGAGATTTCGGCAATTCCATAACAGTATCCGAATGATAACTTTAACCGTGGTCACATTAATCGGTGTTAACTGATATTCAATTACGTGTGACCAAGTAATTATACTTGAAAAATATAATAAATAATCTATTATCTGTAATTTAATTTGGAATCTTCATTTTAAGTTATCAATTTAATGAAAAATGTTAAATGACATAGCAATTACGCATATACAGTTTAATGACAAATGAATAATTTTATACTAAAATTATAAATTATACTTGTAGTTACTGAAGTGTAATTTTTGACTGATAAGAAAGAAAAGGCAACCTAATGGTAGAAAATGTATATTTTATATTTAGAATGGCTAACAGGAAAATAGAATGAAAATTACATTTTCAAATCAATGAGCAAAACAAAATAGAAGTAGTACATAATTTAACTGAACGAAGAGAATGAAAGTTACAAATATCTTAGTAAAAATTATAAAATCTAAATATGAAGAAACAGTATTTTGTCATTTTTTAAAGTATTATTAGTAGCAGAAGGCAGCTTAAAAAGAAAATAAAATTTATTTACTTTGTCTAATCCGATAGCAGCTGTAAGACCACTTGCTAAAAGGACGAGATAATCAGGTTTCGCTTCTGGTACGGGAAATGCAGCCTTTGTTTCAAGGCACTGAAATGGAAAAAATATAGTAAAACTTATTATCGGTTGTTTTTTCAATTTTATTAAAATAAACTTAACTTTCAATTTCTAGAAAATGAAAATATATAAAAAATATCTTAGATTATTAGATTATAATGGTTATTTAAGAAAAACTGTTTTGTATTCATTCGAGTTAAACAAATATTTGACAATAATGCATGCATTCTATTTTTTTTTACAGCAAATGTAGCTGCCTGGTGGCCGCCAGATAAAACTGTTGAATGTAGATATTTCATAACTGGTACCATTCTAAAAAAATACGCTAGTTGTTTGGGCAACTGCATGGGCAAGGGCAAAAGACTTTTTACATGCGTACCGTGAATGTAAATCTAAATAAATGTTAAAAATAATAAATAACTGTTTTATTAAGTTTCTTAGAGTAATTAAAAAATTCATAAGCTTCGCATGTGTTACAACATTTTCAAAGCATTAGAAGACTCAAAAATTGTGAAAATTGAATTTAAATAAACATCGTATGAAAGAAAGGGATGTGTCGAGCAAAATATGGCTCTTAAACTCTCAAGAAATGTACTATCGAAAAGCTAGACTGGATTAGCTGATTATGTAACAGAAAGGGACCGCACTGTGCGGTTAAAAATAAGGATGCTTTCATGGAGATCTTTCTGATTTGAATTTGTTTTAACCGATGATGGCAAAAGCACGCAATGGCTATCTGCCTGAAGGTAAGGACACTTTAGTGGAAGCTTTCCTAAGACCTGCGAAACCAGTTATTGATAAGAAATTCGGTAACTGCGTTGCATTTTCTCGTATGGTAATGAGATGTTAAATTACGGTTTTCCATTAAACCTGCTATTAAAGTGTGCAGCACCAAGTACCATTTGTGTAAAAATACTTTGTGCATGTTGGCTCCAAGCAATGGTGATTTGCTTTCTCTGGAATACAGATCCATTGAGTGCAGTGTTAAATAAATTTGTGATATAGTCCTAAATGAATAAACTTATTTCTACATCAAATATTTCTTTTGAATAATATAACATGAGCTGGAACGCAGGAAAAAAGATGCTAAAACACGTTTGGAAAAGATGTTGCTTCGCAAATTTTTGTACTACAGAGTGACAAATAGCTTAGACTTGTTCAACTGGTTAAGGAAGTTGACTTACATTATATATCTCGAGACAAACAAATGATAGAAAATTCAAGAAATTGTAAAAGAATTATGAAAATGTATTTCTGCCAGACATCAACAGTTCAAAGTGTATTTTTTCATGTATTGAAAATCACCGCTTATATAAATGTCCAATTTACAAAGGGTTATCTGCTAATGAACGCTTTGAGTATGTAAAAACTAATAATTATCCTTTCAGTTGTCTAGAAAAACATCGAGTATCGACACATAAATCGAAACTGTTGTGTAGCTTTGCAAGCATTGGTACCATGTAGCTTTGCATTTCGCGAGTAAACAAAAACAAGGCAAAAATGTGCAGAGCGTGCATGTAAATTTTTCCGAAGTGAGCATTCTTTCGCTTCCAGTTGCAGATGTCGTTCCCGCAGCAAATAAATAAAGCAATTCAAGAATAATATTTTGTGGCTACAAGTATTTCGCCTACAAATTCAAAAACTGTAATGCTTAGCGTTTTTGTTTCTAATTTAAGTGAGGTAACGGAAATAAATTTCCTATCCCAGCGCTTCTTGACGTTGGCTCTAATACTAATTTTTTAGTAATTAAACTTACTTGCTAAAGGAAAAAGTAAATATTGCATTATCAGGTTTGAAAGGATTGTCGTTGGTGATTAAGTTAATGCCACAATTACTAATGAATCGAGTAATTTTAAATTAGACGTAGAAGTTTTAGTTGTTCCCAGAATAACGGATCTGACTCCATTTAGACAGCTTCATGCTTGTTTTCCAGAATTAAATAAACCTTTAGTAATCAGATACAGATTTTAATACCCCAGATACTATTGACTTACTATAAGGAGGTGAAAATATCTGAGAGATTTTAAAACTAATTAAAAATTAATCAAATTTATCTATCTAATACAAAATTAAATTAATATTATAGAACGTTATATTCGGGTTTTTGGTTAGGGATAATGTGTCAACGATAATAGAGAATATATATGGGATTGTTAACGATTCTAAAGATTCAGAGAAATTATGTTAACGATTGTAACGATTCAGAGAAATCGAAAATATTGAGTACTAGCTGATACCCGTCCGCTTCGCTGCGCACACTACAGTGCCAGTCAGTGAATCTGTCATACACAGATTTCCCCATCACCATGAGGTACTGTGTATTGGGATGCGTTCCCATTATTTAACGAAGCAGGACCCCCAATAGGCCTACTTCCCGAAAAATACCAACATAAACTAAAGTTTATATATATTTAACTGTTATCATAATTTTCATGAAAATAAGTGTTAATATCTTTGTTATCAAATTTTTTAATCACTTATAATTATTTGCCCTTGATTTGTTATGTATAGAAATTTTTATAAATAACAACAACATTTTTGTTTTTCATCACAATAATTTATTTCTCTTAAAAATAACATTTATTTTCATGAAACTTATGATAACAGTTAAATATAAGTGTTATTATTAACGTTATCATTTAAATGTTGTTCGTATTCATCCGATAGATTCAAGTTATTTACCAATTTAATAATTTTAAAGGAAAATGCATTCATTGGCAACATTGTATTTCATATCTAGTTTTGGCAACAATAAAAGAAAATTCTGTACTTTGATTTGAAAACCAAATGTATGAGAAACTTCTATTGTATAACAAAAATCTATTTTGGACAGGATTTACGTAAAATCCGTTCTTAGTGCGCGTCTACATCGTGGGATGAGTAACTATGCAAAATTTCACGTCAATCGGGTGTCTAGTTTCGGAGATCTCGTGATCAGTCAGTGGTATTTCGCTTATATATTATTCAGTATAATAAAATAAAAAAAAGAAGTCCTTATTTGTAAGGAGGCTTTTCAAAAGTCTCATACAAGATATAAATATAAAAGGAAAAACCCAGCTTTGAAAAGTAACCCAGCTAGCTTAGGTGAACTAAAGCAAATAGCTATGGAAAGATTTTCTTTGGGCACGGTTACGCTAAAAGCTTGAAATTCTAACTATGTATAAGACTTTATGGATGAATATGTGAGTATGGGACACATGAAGGAAGTTGAAAAAGCCAAGAAACAGATATGGTTTACGCTCTGTCTCATGATGTTGTTGTTCGAAGAGAATCTTTTCCATAGACTGCAATAAATATGCAAATTTATCATGATCATCTAAATTGAGATCATTATCGATTTTTTTTAAACTGGCCCCAAAATTCTAACCAGCTTTTAATATTCCCATCAAAAATCGGAAGTTTAAGCTTAGGATAACGTATAGTAGCATTTTGAGTTAAGCTTTGATTAATAACAAAACCGCTTTCTTTTTCAGTTAGAAGCGAAACTAATTTGCTTTCTACCATTCTCCACTTATCAATATAGCATTCTGACTCATCAAACTCGTTATTTATCACAGTTTCATCTTTTTCAATTTCAATCAATTTTTCTCTATAAGTCTGTTTTATTTCAATCATAGGTTTCGCTTTGTTCTCAACTAATTTAAGTTTCGAAATTTTTCCGTCTAAAGACAAATCATTTCCCTTCTTCTCAAACTCATTTAAAGCTTTTGTAAACAATTTCCTAAATTGAGATCGTTTGCACTTCAAAACATCCATTATAAATAAACGAAAGAATTCTATTTACAGATAAAAGTCCAGTCAGCGGACGCCAAATGTTCAAAAATTCTCACCAAATTTGTTACCTCAAGAACTATTTATTACTCGGAAATAACTATCTATATCTCTTTAGTTATTTAAAACTCTACAATAATTAAATAGTTCTTTTATTCATACTCTCAAATGATGAAAACAAAAGTTACACTAACTCTCTAAAAAAGAACAACAACATAGTATATTGCCATTCTCTGAAACATAAACTGTTACAAAACATGGATAATAATAATATGAATACATAATGAATTAAAACAAACCTATAGAGTAAAGAAAACGATTACACCTGCTTGAAGCTTGTGCAATATTACTCAGAAGCTGCAGTTAGAAAAAAATATAAACAAAAATATTGTTCAGTATATTCAAAATATTGTTCAATGTGGCTTCTCTGATGCGTCAAAAGCAGCAGATGGAATATATATTTACTGTTAAGCCACATTACATCAGTGAAGTTGTTATGCAGTAAATCTTGTGTCTTCTCCCTAAAGAAGACTACAGTGCCCAGACTTTGAGCTCTGCGAGGCAGTTTTGTTAGCAAAATTAGTACATCGCTGAACATGAAACTTACCACTATTCATTCTATGATTGTGTTGTCATGGATTAAGAAAGAACCTCATCTACTAAAGATGTTTGTAGCTAATCGAATTTCGAAGCCGATCTTACTAAATTTGAACAATGGCATTATGTTGCTTCTTAAGAAAACTCACTTGATCTCATAGCCAGAAGTATCGGTGCTAAAAATTTAAACTAAATGTACTGGTTTGGAAAGGACCTCACTTCATAATGAAAAAGGGTATACCGTAGTAGAAAAAAGGGTGTACCTGAAGCAGTAACTCAAAGGGACACTTATGTACTTAAAAACTGTGTTTATAATGAATATGTACCATGTTTAACTCTAAATGAGAATAACATTGTTAATGATTTATTTATTTAACTGCAGCAAGAAGTAGTTTTCGTTAATTTGTATTGTAAGTTATCGTCTTAGGTTGTATAGAAATTCTAAACATGTACCAAAGAAGGTATGTAAGATCTTTCTCTTCTGTTCCTACAATGAACCTGGCGAATTCTCACACAAACGTGAATGAATTACCAGCACAGAAGAAGGGTGAAAGGTAATCCTTTATTAATTCAAATCTGAACAGAAAGGCACGGACTTCGTGCTTTACAATAACACCGACAACTTGCTGTGGAACTTAAACGTAGAAAAAAAATCAATTCAAATCTAAAATAGAATAGTGCTGCATTAGTTCATTAAGTTACGTCTAACAAGTTGACTCAACAAAAACCTAACAGGCGTGACGATAATCCGAAATGGCCAAGAGGCGTACAAGCTTAACAGCGAGATAGCAACGAAACGTGTGCTGGCTAGCGAAAACACGCTCTGAATAACTCAGAGATTCACCCGTTAAATACTCACGTCAATTAACTTGCATCCTGTCAAGAAAATGCTAGGGAAAGTTAAGGAATTCAGGAAAGGAATCAAACTTAGAATAAAATTTGTTATGCAAAATAAGGGAAACCCTACAGACCCATTAGAGACGGAAGAAATTGAGTTAGCTGAAGAAAAATATTAAGGCTAGTGTAAGGTGAGGATTTTATAAGTAAGATACATGGTCTTAATAATCAAATATGGTTCCAAAAGATAGTTTTGTTAAGAATCTTAACCCCTTTATTGATAACGTTGATTACTAGAAGGCAGGTTAAGAAATAGTAATCTAACTTATAAGAATATATTTCTTATTATTCTACTTTTTTAACATAAATTATTTAGTTAGTATATTTAATGGTTTATTACATGTAGTAGTAGTGAATGTAGTTAATAGTCAATTATTATTACCATCGTAAATACCAACATGCAGGTCCTCAATACTTGTTATATCGCAAAACAAAAATTTTGATCATGAATGGTAGATGCCTATGTAAAAAAGAGTACGTAATTGTTTAATATGTTTCAAGGTGAAACCAGTAACGTTAAATCAAATCATGGGTGTTTTATTCAAGGAACAAAATACTCTAAATTTCCCTTTTAATGTATCTGGGGAATGGACTTTACTCTATCAAATATAGAAATCAGTGAAAGGATGTTTTTCAGAACATTTATGCGTTTACATGGATTTGCTTTGGCTCTAAAATCATTCATCTAGAGCAGAGGACTTAAGCAACTTAAGGAGAAATCCTTTCCTAAGAGGGAAATTTTACAGTTCCGGGGGGGGGATGAACCCAGCTCTTATTTACCTGTTAAGTATTTAGTTTCAGTTTATGAATATAAAGAAACTACTTTTACTCAAGTTTTGGTATTTATCAACATTTTCTATATTTTTATTGTTAATTAATAAAGCATATTAAAAAATAATCTAAATTTAAACACGATATGGAGAGTATTGCTGATTTGTCAACTTCTTCCTTTATTGAAACATGAAAAAAATTCATCTCGAGACGAGGTAAAAAAACCTGCTAAGTTATTCACTGATAATGCCAAAAGTTTTGTTGGCTCTAGCAGTGAAGTTAAAAAATTACACAATTTAGAATATAAACCAGATAATGTTATTGTGGGTTATTTAGCATCTGAAGAAATAGCCTGGAGTTTTCTATCTCCAAGGGATCCTCACTTTAGGCGTCTTTGAGAGGCAGGTATTAAGTCTTTTAAATATTACCCGAAAAAAGTTGTTAGTAATTTAAAATTAACGCATGAAGAATTTACCTGCATAAATTTTTCAAACTGAGGGAATGCTAAGTTCCTTCTTCTTTTACTAATAACTCCTGATATGGTTGAAAGAAGCTTCGAAGCCTGCTGATTTTTTATTAATGCAGACCTCTTCATGCATTAATTTAAGTTGATCTTACCAATATAAATGAAAATCTGTTAAAGAGAAGTGCAAAATACCACAAGAATTTTTAGAGTGCATTGACAAAATGGAACAACAATTGTTTAAATAATCTACAAGAAAGGCACTGAATGGATTTTTTATAAAGACAATATGAAAAATAGGTGACGTTGTTACAATTAAGAAGGACAATTCACCACTGCTCAAATGGTCACATAATAAAATTGATAGACTATACCAAGAAAAAAAATAAAAAATTAGAGTAACAGAATTAAAACAGCTTCTAATTATCATAAAGGACACACTTCAAAGTTATATTCATCACCTGTAAATAATTTAATTTGTATATATTGATGTAGCTCTAATATTATGATGTGCATTTACCTCATTATTGCAATCAGTAGTAGATTGGTTGTTTAAATATTTTATTGTTTAATTTACAGTTACTTACAATAATTTACAATCACTTAGTTTAATTTGCAATTATTCGTATGTTATACGTTGCAAGCCCCTGCGCCATGTTAAAGAGTAAAGCACAATCTATGTAAAAAAATTATGTGCATGTTTCTGTGGAGTACAGACCCATTGAGTGCAGTGTTAAATAAGTTTGTGATAAGTCTTCAATCAATGAGTTTATTTTTGCATTAACAATTTCTTTTGAATAAGATAATCTGAATTATCGACCACCTATCTTGCAAAGGAAATGAAAAGCTGTTGCTGGTGACAAAATAGTGTACGTGGTTGAGCTGATGATGAATGTAATTGAAGGTAGCTAAAAAAGTCATATAAACTACATTTTGGGATTATAAAAACTAGTGTTTTGTCCTTTAAATAACTAAATAAGAAGCTAATTGTAGTTTGCGATATCTTGAATTTCCTCTGAAGTAAAAATCTTTCACAGTGTGGAATGTGCTATTTTAGGTGGTAAGAATAAACATGTCCACAAGTTATAAAAGTTGTAAGAAGTTTCACGTCACACTTTTATAACTGAATTTCATATGAACCAAGGGGCATTCATTATTTTAGGATACATTTATTATGGAGGATTAAACTAATACTGATACTGATACCCCGTTTTATGACGCATACGCTCAATAATGGCTCATGCTGAGTATGGGTTTGTGAAGATTTTGTATATCATTGCCTTATAATTGAAAGCCAGCTCCGAAGTTTATCAAGAAAGACAGTTTGACTCAACCCAGTTACCTTACTAGGTACATTCTTAATAAGTTTTTGAAACTGAAGTTTGTTACCAATAGATACTCGAGGCATTTTCCAAGATTTATATGCTTAATATCTGGCATAAAGATTTCAAGATTGGTATTAATATCGAGATGAACTTTATGGTTTCTAAATATAGAGAGAAATATTTCTTCGGGTTAGTCTTGAAATCCCATTTATTACACTTTCAATATCATCTTGTCCTTTTTTTTTAATAATAGTAAAAGCTGTTCTTGGATTTAATGATATGGTTAAGATTTCTATTTCATCCTCTACTAAAATGTTGAAAAAGGAATACATTTACGAAAGTTTATACAGCACTGACGAGAGCAGGGATCCGTTCAGGTGCTCCAGATTGAATTATTTTAACATCCGAAAACTGAGAAATTCTTTTAACTTACAACAGCATAACTCACAATTATGTGGATTAAAGCATTATTGGTAATCAATAAACGTTTGAATAAGACTAGTGTGCCAAATCTTACTGAAATCTATTCCAAATCTAAAGCACAGATCAACAATGTATTTTTGTTATTTAATCCCTGGCGAATAATCTCAGCAACTTTTAAGCCATGATGATTGGTTGAATGTCCTGTTCGAAATCCAAACTATACTGGAGATATAATGTCTCGAGAATGAATAAACTTGACGCAGAATAATTTTCTCAAACAACTTTCGGATGATAAAAAACTAAATTGATTGGTAATTATTTAGCCTTTACCAATTAGCTGAATTATGTCTTTCACTTGGGAAACTTTTGAATAAGTTAAAAGGAATCACAATAGCTTTTCTGTGTAGAGATCTGATAGCTTTGTTTGAAATCTGGTGGTTTTTCGACCGTCTGAGAGAAACTGTTCTATATTTGCGTAACACACAAAGGAAGCCATGGAAACCTCAAGGCAACCAACACCTTCAACTGCCGGGAATGGAACTAGAGAAGTAGCAGAATTTGCGAATTTAGTCATTTGGACAAATGGCCGGCGGTATGAATGTCGAACCAAAAAATTACTTTTTTAAGTGAAATCCATGTCAAAGAATGACTAACAAAAAACATGTTGTATATAATTTCATTTGTTTTACGGTGACAGATACACTATATCGCGAATTCATATTCCTTTTTAATGGCGAAAATGGTCAGGAACTGAAACTAAACCATTCCAAACAAGATTAATGTGATTAATATAAGTTTATAAATTGTATTAACAGTTTGTTATTTCTTAATGAAGGTTAACTTACGCAATACTCAGAATAAGCACCAAGCTTGGAACTCATATATGCAACATTTTGCCCCAATGTGAAATTTTTCACGTCATCTCCAACCGCGACCACTTCTCCGACGGCCTACATAAATGCAAAGCAAAATTAGATTATGCAAACAATATATCCAGAAGTTAAATTTAAAGTCTAATTAATTTTATTAGGTAAATATTTGATTATTTCATGATAAATTTCCAACTACAGAATCATTTCTTTTTCATGCCAACAAACATTTAAAAAAGTTCTGAGAGAAAAAGATCAGATTCAGATTTTCTCCTTTTTATGCACTTTTAATAGAATGAAAAACTCATTTTCTTATAAATGAAAATATTATTATTCTTTTGTTTAAATGCAGTAGAATAACAGTTTAAACAAATTACTTTCTTATCTATTATAAGGTGCTTTTCAGAATGATAGAACCAAATTTAAATGGCAGTAGGCAATAGAATCCGTCATCCATTTTTAAGTGAAAAAATTATAACTGAATTTGCATTTATTTCAGCTATCTGAAGAAAGTACATAAAATTCTTTTTTAGGAATACAAAAATTATAATTTAATAAAAATTTCATCAAAAATATTTGCGCTATCCAAAATAAGAACAATTTTTTTAATGATCTCACAAATATATTTTGTTAAATTAAGAGTCAAACAACAAAATCAGCGTTGCAAATTTTCACAAGACTAGTTTCGATGGTTTTAACCGAACCATCATCCTCAAAGCAAAAGCGCAAATGAAACAAATAAGATATAGTAATAAGATAAGAATGATAATTTTCTTATCTCATCACTATATCTTATTTCGTTTATTTGCGCTTTGACAGCTGAGGATGATGGTTCGGTAAAACCATGGCAACTAGTCCTGTGAAAATTTGAAAATGTAACACTGATTTTTGTTGTTTGACTCCTAAATTAATATTTGTTCGGCATGTTATTTTACCTTAAATATATTTTGTTTTAGATCTGGCAAGACTCCGACTACCATATTGTATTCGAATATAGGCCCCTTCTTATATTTATGCGTAATTTAAAAAAAATGAAAGCGCAGATAAATATTTGATGATAAAAGCAGTGATGTTTAGAATTGAAAATTGTGGCGTTTATGTTTATGTGTTACTACCAAATTTTATTTAATTTACATAAGTACTATTTGCCTCATTTTGCCACGAGGTCTGCTCTTTCCAGAATTCATATGTAGATTGAGTGGCAAGAGTTCAAAGTTAGAAGAATTAGAGCATAGCTTGCCGTAGAAAGTTTTGTTCTCTCTCGGTGGCTCCAGGGCTGATCGGTCAGTTCAAAATCTGACTCTGTGCCGGTTTTAGGCGAAGCTTGTAGTCTCTGATAGGAATATATTAAATTGTTTGAATGTATAATAAACTGAAGGCAGCTTGTGTTTAAGTCAAATCTAGGTGGCTGGTAATTTGTGTTGTATAATTTTAATTTACCCCTCACAGGTGGTGAGGCAGAGTATATTTAAAGTTATCCCATTTCTATATCTGTTTGTTTCAGAGTTTAAAAATTCTTATGGAAAGAATTCACCCGTAGAATACATGTAACACCCTAATGTCGTTTGTAAGTGACCTAGGTAAGTTTAATTGAACCCAAGATAGGTGTTACAAAGTAAGCCACGTATTTGAAAACAACATTTTATTATAATACAGAAAGAAAAATTAAGAGAATTTATTGATACCTTGTTTCCTGTTTGATTTCAGGCATGTAAATGACAATGTAACAGATGCCGGTTTAAACTGAAATTCCTCAGCTGATGTAACTATTATAATTGGCGGAAGCTATGCAGTTTACATAACTGTATGGCTTATTTAGTATTTAAATGGTCTACTTATTGTATATAGTATGATAATTAAACTCCTTTCTCTTGCTCTGCAGATTCATTTATCAAAATATGCATTCACAAGCCTCTACCAAATTTTAGAGCAAAATTATAGTGAAAACTGAGTTTCATTTTAGAGTAAATGCAATATATCGCAGTGAAATTTTTTTGCATGCTTCTGAGTTCAAAGATCTTGTATTGTTTATGTTCTATGCTTTACTACATTAGTTTCAAACTCAAATTGCATGCGGGCCTCACCCAGTATCTGAAACGGCTGAAGGGCCAGATTTTTTTTTAACGAAATCAAAAATTTTATTAACAAAATGAAAAGTATTTTAAATGAATTTTCATTATTTATTAAACTTAATAAATATTTATCGAAACGTACATAAGCAACAATAATATTGCATGACAGAAAAATTCAAATGTTTATTTATTTTCTATTTGGGATCTGCTAGACATTATTTGTTACACTTTGTAATTAAAATACATTCACAGCTAATATTAAATATTTAGTTCATTCGCTGAAATAAGTCTTGAATGTTTAATTATTTATTTATGACTTACTTTAATTTAAACTAAAAATAAACAAATGAAAAACCACTTTCCAAATTTTCAGAGAAAATTGACCGAGTTGGTAAAACTTGAGAATAAATAATGATTCAGTCTCTTTCTATTATTTATGAAATTTTTTCTATGACGCATAAATAAATGTGCATGTATTTGTATGCAAATAATTATAAACTTCTTGATTTCTTACGGAAGCTTGACACTTGATGACGTTTCAATTGAGATAACGTATGTAGCATTAAACAGAAATTACTAGTAATTATCTTCATCACGAACTGCAGATACTCATCGGTCAACTAGGTTTTTTTCTTATTTATGTTTAACATTTTTAACTGTGGGGAAAAAAAAAGTGTTCACATATAAATGCACAGCGCAAAAATTCGCAGTTCAGCTTATTCATTTTTGACAAGTACGAATAAAAGTTTTAAAAAAATCTGTATTTTTAAGTCTTTGAATAAGATTTATAGTACACTGTAAATTAGAAAGCTCTATTTACAGATTTTTTAGGGCGCTATTCGTGTCCAGGGAATGAAAATAATGTAAACCCTGACTTCAAATAGCTAAAATCTTGAAATTCTTTGCGACATCAATGATTGAAATGCTTTCCCGAGACACATAAATTTTCATTGGGGCTGCATGCTGCCCGCAGACTGATTGTTTGCATTACGACACAATTTCCGTAAGCATCATATCTGGAAACACAAGATCATTTGAATATTTCAAATACCATTATGCCAGTCTGAAGTCGAACTTGAATCACGATATAGATATCCTATCGAAGTTGAGCAAAATTATCATTTAAAAAGTCAAAAATGGTACAAGATTTTGATACATGATTGCTGATGTTGTAGACTTAGGCTACGAAGATTAATAATGTATTAATACTTGCATTAAGTCCTCTCCAGACAGCGATATGTTTACGTCCTTTCAGCACTCAAAAAGCTTAAATCTCATTACCTAATCTTACGCAAATAATTTCCAGCAGTCGGGACTATCGAAAGTAAGCTTTTCATTACTCTACATTATATTTTAAAGTCATATCATATGCACTTTTTCTCAATCTTGTTTATGATGCTTTTCAAATAAGGGCGATATTTCCTTCAAGCATTTTTCCGGTACATTTAAAAGCCAGACGAAGGCTGGCCGCGTAACTGCTAGTAATTTTATAAATGATTAAACACCTTCGTTTTTATATTTTTATAAAGCTGAAAATAAATAAACATAAGTAATATAATGCATATGAGTATATCATATTTACTTTAAATTAAATTTGGCTTTTCAAATGTTTCTTCTTGAAGACACTGGCAATAATATATGAATTTTTTTTCCAAAGCTATTACAGGCGTTGGCCTTTACTAGGGCCAAAAATGGTAGTCACTTTATTATGGAGGCACTTAATAAGTGGGCCACCGTTGCATCCTGTCAAGGGACAGACAATTTATATCCATGCCTTCTCCGGGATTCGAAGCCGGTCAGTTCGATACGGCAAGCGAAGTCACTAATCATTTCCCATCTGGGCGGCGAGAGTATATGAAATTGTTATACGCGAAAATAAAAAGAAATTTAATACATTAGTAAAATATAATAAAACTGGATTTTCAAAAATTGTTTTACTTCAAAGCCGATGTCGAAAGGAACTTTTCCATCACCAAAATATATCCCTTTAGTTATGTTCACGTCACTAGCATTGATGCCCACAAACCTGAAAAATTTGAAAACATTTTAAATCATCAGTCGAAAGAATTGAGTACAATTATACAAATAAGTTAAGTACAATTAAATTAAAATTAATTAATATATACAGAAAAGAATGGTGCCTCTAGGCGTCTGAAACGACTTCCACGCCCTGTTACTTAAAAATAAAAACTTCAGGGTCATAGATACTCTTCTATCACTTTGCTTGTAACGTGTGTCCTCATCACCTCACAGAGCGAATTGGGGAATTTTAGCAAAATAGAAGATTCGAATTTTTCTACGCAGCAGTAGTTGCCATGGTTATGAGTCCTTGTTTGGGGAAACAAATGGCCTTGAATTTCTTATTCTAAAGTAAGAGACTATAGTAACTCAACGTGAGTTCAAGCAAGCCAGCTGCAAAGCTTTTCAGTGGACTTCTCCATGTGTAACATAAGCATGAGCCAATTTCTTTGAAAAATTCTTTCACAAAGTGAACCCATTTCTTAGCCACATAGCACTCGATTGGCTAAAAAAACACAAGGGTTATATTTTGGAAAAAAAAATAAATAAATAAATAAATAAATAAGCATGCACAGAAACATAAATTGAGAATTCATGAGCAGAAATCAGGTAACTGCATAGTATTTAATTTTTTTTAATTATGTATACATTATGAAATAAGAAAAAATATCCTTTCGAACTGGATATGAAAAACAAGAATGCGGAACCAGTTTCTAAAATTACTTAAAGGAAGAAATAAGAAAACTGAAGTAAAAGATTCATCTTCTGAAAAAAAATCATACCTAAAATGATTGATTTTTTTATTTTAAATATTTAGTTTATAACCTCTATTGTGAAGCTGATAACATTTTGATGATAGGCATCACTTTTGAGCGGCTCATAGTAAAATAATCTACGTTTTTGTCTAAACAGATGCTCAGCGCAAATGCTTAAATAAGATTTCTTTCTGAATTTCAAATCTTCTCTCACGAAAACAACAAAAGGTACCTTTTAAATGAATCTTTCACAGTGTCTAATCAATAGGAACTGGCCGAATAGAAAAGAGATGACTCAATGGTTCAATTCACAAACTTCTTCCTAAACGCAATTTCAGAACAGAGATTTGAAAAAGCAGAATATCAAATATTCAAAGGATAGTAATGAATAAAAACAGCTAAGCTTACGAAGCAAATTACAGCAGAAACAAACCCCTAATTAATTTTATTTTAAGAATTTTTGCGAAAGACAAATTTCCATTACAGTGTTTCTAATAACAGTTTCAGAAAGCATAATGCGAAAAAGACATGCAGTATGTGAACTGTTAGTCTAGTATGTGAACTGAGAAGAAAACGCGTTCGCTATTTATGCTTGCAATGTTCTACATTTCTCTTTACAGAGAATCATATTTTTACTGCAGATTAATTAACGATTTTTTTGGCATATGGAATTAAAAAAAAAACATTAAAGTTACCGTTAATTAATTATTACATATAGTGGTTTGCATTCAGGAGAAGCGGAGAAGCTCCATTCTCTTGCAAGGAGTAATGTACAAAGAATGTTGAACTTAATTGCATGAATCCTTGGAAATTTTGAGAATGCTGCCTGTCTAGTGTCTGTAACGCAGCTCATTTGCTTTACTAGCTGTCTGCGCAGACAGCCGCCTAAAACAGTTATAAAAAACAGAACAAATATATAATTATTATAATGAGTTTAGTTAGTTTTATTTTATAAAAATATTTAATATTTCTAATTAGATATCTTATGATTTATTCATGCATTTTTGCATAAATCAATCAGATTAAAAACAACACATTGCTTTGAAATAGTTGAGTTTGTGACTAAAATTGAGGATAAATATCTTACATTTTGTGGAATGGCCACAGTCTGCTGCTTCGGAAATAAAAATGTTTTATTTCGAAGATTGTTGCTTTCTAGTCGTTGATATTAATCAAAAATTCATTAAATTTGTACAAAATAGAAAGTAAATAAATAAAATACAAAGTAAAAATTTTAAATTCTGGTTTCAAGGTGTTCGTGTTCCAATGAAAGGTTACATGTATTGAAAATTTAGCGGTTGCAAGTACCCTTATTTTTCCACAATGCGAGAAACATACAAGTATGCATACGGCATACTGATTCTTCATTATTTAATAGTAGAGATGTTTTATTGCTCTCAACTATTGTATTTCCAAAATTTTAGCTCATTCTCGCTTTTTGAAATGTGTATGAAATCAGTCACCTTTGGGTGAAAAGAAATGAAGGAAAGAAAATGATATGTTCATAATACTTTTACAGTGTTCATATTTTCTAAAGTGATAATGCTACCAGTGTCAGTATCACACTTACTTGTTTTTAACACAGATTTCTCCTTTCTTAGGATGACACATATTTACTGTTTCTATTGCTACAGCTTCTCGGAAGTCTGTACTAAGTTTCCTACAGACCAACTTCTTGTATGTTGCATGTTTCGGATCCATACTTCAAATCTATAAAGTAAATTTGGAAAATAAATTTTGATTTCTAGTACCTCAATTACCACCTCTTTTTGCACCCATTTTTAATGTCAACAATATGTATTATGAACGACAAAATTCATCTTACCAGCGTGCAATAGAATGTATTACATGCATGTAATAGAAAATCACTCAATAAATAATATAGAATTTAAAATAACCTTAATACATTAAAAGGTGATTTATACAGATTCTAACGTAAACGATAATCTTGAATTCGCAACGACAATACTGAAGTTAGGCTTGCATTTTATTGTTCTTAATTCAAAGAAATAAAAAGAGAAAATTTTTTAGAGATGCTTTAACACATAACTGTTAGATCAGAGCTTAAATTGTACCGGAGTCCACTGGAGCGTAGCTCCGGTACTTGTTAATTTTTTAGATAAATCGTAATTCTAGCCAGAGCACAGGCTCCAACACTTTTTTTAGAGTAATTGAACCACAATTTCAGCAGAAAATTCTCTTAATCCCGAAAATCTTATTTTTAATAATAAAACTAAATTAAATTTCGATTCTAACTTCTCAATGCATGTCTCTTTTTCTCTAAGAAGCAAATCCTTAGGAGAGAAAAATTCTCCCCCATCCCCAATTTAGACGAGGTCCAGAATTTTGTTTAATATTTTGTATTTACCATTTATTTAGTAACTTATTAAATTTTTATTTAGCTTCTTGCATTTTATAGTTTTGAATTTTAATTTTTAATTACTTTAATTATTAATTATTTACTATTTTATTAATTATATTTTTTATTTATTTGTTTCTTGTTCCTCTTTCCTGACGGTCTCTCATACGGCTCCAGAACTTCTAATTTTAGAAATTAAGCTCTGTATTAGAAATTACAAAGTTCAGAAAAAGGTGTTATATCTTTAACATATCGCAATCTAATCAAAATATAGAGATGTTTGCCATAGCCGACTGAAAGCCGTTCTCCTTAGATTTATTTTAATTGAATCATTGTAAATGTCATGAGATTTAGTTCTTTTAATAAATGCAAAATAATATGCACAAAAAGAAAGAATCTCGAATTTCGATATTTAAGCTAAATTCCTGTATTTCCTGTTTATCATAAAATTTGAAACACGAACTACCTACGATACAAAAGTTATTTTCTTCAGTTGCTATTTTTACTAATAAGAAAGAATACAGATTAAAATCCTATGAGAACTTACCGGTTACCTTGATTTTATGAAAAGGAAACTCAAGAAATTATCTAACTGATGCTTCCAAAGTAAACGCTTGCAATGTTTTTTTTTTTTTTTTTTTTTTTTTTTTTTTTTTTTTCTTTTTTAATCAGCGAGAGGAAAAGCGATAAAAGCCTCTCTTCACGTGATGCCATTATTTCCTACTAGCAGACTCAAAGTTGTCACTGAAACAAGTTTTTCCGTCGGCGTCGTCTGAAAGATAATATAGTTCGCATAATAATAAGTTCCCATGTGAAATACTTTTTTCGCAAGTCATGGGCTTTGAATTTTTTTATTATATAATTGCGTCTTCTTTATTTCTGCTATGCGTCTTATATAGCTTTAAAACAGACACTGTCTTTCTTTTTTTGTAGCTGTCATAGAAAATATAGTGAGTCACATTTGTTTTAGGATACTTGTGTTTTTCAATTTTATTTACAAATATCAGTTACTAAATATTAGAGAAATCATTTTTTTTTCACGTCTTATTTATTGAACGTCTTTTTCACAACCTGCCCCTTTTTCATTTTATTTAAGGGTATTTAAACTCCTTGTGCACCACACAGAAATATACAAGGCTTACCTGCTTGTTTTGAGAAAAATTTTCAAAAATTTCTTCGTAAAATAATAACAATAATACGAAACAAACAAAAAAAATACAAAAGGTTTCAGATTTTAAAGGTCGCACAAAAGGATTTGTTAAGATTTTTTACGCTCTCGCTGACTTCGTAATAATCTACAAATCTGCTGTTACATTCACTCTTACTAACCCCCACCCGACTTTTTTTTTTTTTTTTTTTTTTTTTTAAGTTTTGTCTTTTTAGCTTTATTATTAAGCATCATTTTCTTCGCACTTATGCCACATAAAATTCAACAGCAAATTTACAGAAATTCTAAAAGCAGCTTATCAGTATACGTTTAGAATTCCAGATGCAGCATTAAGTTTTGGCATTTTTTTCATCAGTTTATCATATCAAGTTCAGTTTTCTTACTAAGATGGCTCTACAAAACTCTTTTTTTTTTTCGGAGGGGGGTCTCTTTTTTTTTTTTTATTAACGTTTTGTATCTTTATTTTATTTATGAAATACCACATTTTTGGTACTTACTCTTCATAAAAATTCGATTCAATAGAAAAATCACAAAATCTTTAAAAACAGCACATCTTTAGAATTTCCGATACGCTTTTTTTTTTTTTTTTTTTTTTTTTTTCTTTTTCCGTGCAGTGTTATCACTGTTCGTTTTGAAATCGTTGAGTTTGTTGATGAAAAATTCGTTAAACTTTCACAAAATGCGAAATATATAATGAAACAATTTTCGAAATTCAAAATTCGTGCTTCCGCGTGCCCATGTTCGGATGGAGGACTACGTTATTCAAAATTTTATGGATCTAGGGATCATTCTTTTTTCACATTGCGAGAAACGTACATACATTCACGCAGATTCTTCATTATTTAACTTCTTTAAATATAATTCAGGGCGATAATATTTGGTGGCAACAGTTTGAAAAGTGATACGCCGTTTATAAGTGATTCAACGCAAAATGCTCTTTTGAGACTATCCCAGTTCAGGATTAAAGTCCCGTTTGGGCTAATAATAATAATTTAATGCTTAAAAATTATAGAGCAGTAATTTCTTAACTAAGAAAGAATATCTGTTTTCAATATTTATTGCTTCGATATTTTTCAGATGTTAATACTTAGATAAAATATTTACTTATTAAAAAATTAAATGTTCTTATATATTAAGTTTTAAAGTGTTGCTATGAGGAACGATTTATATCTTATTCTCTATACTTATTTTGAGTGTGATATACCAGTATTGGTGGAAGGAGTAAAAGGGAATGAGATAATAAACTTGTAAAATTTTCTATATGCTTAAACATATTCATCTAATACTATAATATGGAGTAACCGTTTTTATTCTAAGGTGACAAGCACAGTTCTACAAGAATATGGAAAAATTGTTATAAATAAATAAATGCTGATAGGGAAGCATATTTCATAATTAAAGCAGCCGGACTTTAAATAACTTTTTTTGTTTATACAATTAATAAAACTGCAACACGGCAGCCGTGAAGTAGTAAAAGAATAAAGATCATAAATCCTATTTTAAATAGTCCACCAGCGGCCGAGCGGTAAAGTCGCTAAACACTGGTAGTTCGGTCCGAGGTTCAAATCCCGCGAACGGGCTGGCTGCATGGGCGTCTTCGAGGTTTTCCCCATGTGTAACGTGTATACGAGTCAGTTTCTCTTAGAAATTCCTCTACGAAGGCATCCCTTCCCTTAGGCAGATAGCCCTAGTGTGCTTTGCCGTATTTTTACTAAAACAAACCAAACCTATTTTAAATATTGTCTTACATTAACCTATGCATTAAAGCAACTTGTGATATTTAATGCTGCACAATTAACAGCTCGATAATAGAAAAAGAAATGAGCTCGAGAACAAAAGTAAACACCTCATGTCAAATTTTATTATGATTTTTCCCATTGATGCTTCTGATCACTGTTACCAATGCACACAAAACTCGGAGTTTTAATAATCAGATTTGAGGGGAAAGGGAATATACTTTACTGACTTCGCATAATTCTGGACTACAAACTCTTTTATCCGGCGACTATTTCCTTAATGTGAAAAAAATAAAGCATTCAGTGCTAAACAAAAGGACAATATGACGACCTTGGAAAATAAAATCCTATTCACCAGCGCACTACTATTAGGAAATTTGATTATTCCTCCAGGAAATTGTTTTGACCTCGTGAAGTTTATATAGCATTTCATTATTTTCATCCTGTCATACTGATACAAACTGAATGAATTGTACACAATGGGAGTGGCGCTTTAGCATTGGTTGTCTTACTGATACGAAAATATTGCAGCCAAAGCCATTAGCAATCTACAACTACAGTTTTACGTATGGAAAAATAGTGATAGAATTTCAGTTATTATTTTCCGATTTCTTCTGAAGTCTTGATCCTTAAACGTAGGAATTCGACAGCTGTGTAACACTTAATTTTTTTGAGTACAGGAATGTATTGGTAATCGAATATTCTTCCACATAATGCTAGAATATATGAATTTAAAGTCTCGAACTACAAGATCTAGAAATTTGATACTTCGCAGGAGACTCATAAAACGCCCAGTAACATTTGCTTTGTTATAAAATAAACAAATAGAAATGTTTTTATAAAATAAACTTTTGTTTGAAATTCCTGAAATAACTGAAGAATAAAAGCAGGAAAAAAAGTTTACCATCTAGTTTAATGGGAACAAGGAATTATATAGTTCTTCTTTGCAAAATTAATATGCAGTTTTATATCTCGAATAATAAAAGCATGAAGCCCTGATAAATTTTTAAAATAATGGCTTATACTTTTGACAATGCACTTCAATTAAAAGATTTCCCTATGTAGACGCCTACCCTTTTATTATTGGTTATATAAAATTGTAGAGTAATTTTCTAAAGAGAACTATTTAATCTCTTGTTCCCATGAAATTATACGATGAATTATTTTCCCCTTTCCGTTTATTAATAATTAAATGAGTTTCAAATGAAAGCTTAATTTGTAAAAATATTTTTTAATTTTAATTTAATCTTCTTAATTTGAATATCATATTATCTATTAAAATAATTAAATGAAAAATATTTTTTCAACAATGAAGAATAACTCTTTTAATTCCAACAATTCTTTTATGTTAAATATTCCAAAGTATCCACCAATAAAAATCAGAAATTGTGTTGAAAATCTCACATATCCTTCCTTCATTTAAAAGATCTTTTTCCTCTTTATCTAATGAGCTCTATTCGAAAATTCTGAGAGCTTAGTTTGTTTGTTAAGCGAATATATATGCGAAAAATTATTTCATTATTAGATTTTAAAAAATCCAAATCGAATTTTGAAAGAATCACTTCCCACATTGTACTGTTATCCATAAATAGTGTGCGTACAAAAACTGAACACTATATCTTATCAGGAAGTAGTTTAAAAATCGATGATATACAATTTTACTATAGCAGCAAAATTATGAATGAGCCAAATAAAAGTTTATAGTAATTATACCTATGAATTGTGAATTATTTCACAGTTTCATAAAATAATCATTTCCTTAAATTTAAGTTTTGAAATATATGTTTAATGCATCTGTCTGATTTTAACAGTCACTTTTTTAATTCTCAAAAAGTCTGTAGAACTAACTTTTTAAAAATACTATAAGACTGATTTCCTTCGAGTCATGAGGAAATTTCCACGACTAAATTCTGTTGAATGAATTGGGATGATGTATATGAACATCTCTGAGAGTAACTTTGCAAACCATTTTCACGAGATGGAAGATAAACCGATTGATAGAGTACTTAAGGATAGCAACATAACGCTGCCTCACTTTATGAAATTTAGCCGCAGCTTGAAAAGACAACGGTGCCACGGGGTAGGGAAAAGTTCACAAACTTGAAAGTAAGGGTCAGTTTCTTCCTTGAAGCTGAGCCGGATACCCTTATGTCAATCCCGCTTTTTTCATAAACATGCGCTTCTGAGTTTCTTTATAAAGAAAAAAAAAAAAAAAAAGGATGGAATCAGGTCCGGGGTTCAAACCCCGGACCTGGGGTGCTGCTGCGCGACGCGCTAGCCACTTCGCCACCGGGCGGTCGTTTTCAGTAAAGGGACTTCCTTTTTTCTAGAGTGCTCGCAATGTTAACAGATTTGCAAAAGACTAGAAAAAAAGAGTATTAAATGGGAGAGATACAAAATATTCCGCTATTAACAGTAAAAATGCTTTTAATAATGAAAAATATGCATGAATGTAAGAATTAAAAGTATTAGGAACTCCCTTCAGCCCACCTGAACACGAGTGTCCCCATAGCTCAAAAGAAGGGGGCCCCCATTTCTCCACAAACGAGGGCAGCCAGCAACCCAGCCACTCCCAAACAAAAATAATAAATTAAAAATAAGTAAGCATATCTAGCACAAAATTACAAACAAACCACAAACACAAATTCACAACATAGAACACCACAGATATCTAAAACTCATATAAATACAGAATTCAATTTTAACAGAAGATTCCTACAAGCG